AAAAAAAGTAAAGTCAAAGAAGAAAATAAATAAAATAATAAAACAAGAACAGGCTGGAACTTGAGAGACAGCGAATAATCGTTTAATGTATAACATAATTGTGCCTATACTATTATAATACATTAAAGTTTTACATAAAAAATTTTTTGGTATTTGTTTCTTTAACAAACTTAKGAGCGTTACAAAACGCTGGAAAAAAAACGATGACAATAAAACACGGTCATAATGTTATACATTAACGATGATTTAAGGTAGACACACGACAGGAAGAAAGCAAAACTAAAACATAAATTTAAAAACGGATATAACGAACCGCGTAAGAAAAATGTGACGAGTTTATAATCGAAACGAGTGTTGCGGATGTCTTTTCGAACATTTTTCATAAACGACGTATCATAACAGAACATAACAAGGCTTTGGCTTATTAACGAGCCTTAAAACTAAAATTACAAGGAAAAAACACATTTTCACGCGATAGACAAATTKGGACTTATTGCAAAAAAGTATTCTAAACTTGCGATTGGCACTCTTATTATAAATTATTTCCTAATATACTTATTACTTTAATATAAAAATTGATTAAATATATATTAAGAACAAACCTTAATATTAATAAATATAAAGAGTCGTTTARAACGATACTAAATACAAATCATTTTACATCCAGAATATTACGAATTGCAGATAAATATTATATTAAAAAACAAAATCAAATATTTTGCTCATAGAGTGCAATGTTTAAATTATACAAATATGATTAATGATTCTCCAGTCTTTTAAAACGATTTATAATTCTTTTAATTTAAATTTCAAATACAATGTACGTAATATGGAAAAAAAATCATAAATTTGACGTAGGTATACTTATAACTATCACCGTTGAAGGATTTATACCAATAAAATACTAAAAAAAGAGTATGATTATTAAATTATTTTGATAATAATAGAAAACAAACTATTATAAATAAAATATAGGTTATCATATGTATACTGTGTATACATATCGTACATACATATTAAGTGATAGTTATATAGTAAATAAAGCGATATATAATTAATAATAAAATAAAATGGGTTTTTATGATGACGTGTTCGAAAACTACCTATCTACTTAATATTATCAAAGACGAAAATTACGAACAAAAAAATATTTGGGCGTTGTATTATCTATCACAAAATATCACAAATAAATAACTCAAGATTGAGTAATACCGAAAACGCAATCAATGTAGAGTTTTATACTAATACTATAATCGGGCGTCGAGTGTGGTATTAGATTCAAATCATTCAATAATATTACACACAAACACACAAACACAAACTAACACACAACGCATAGGTAGTCTAAATACCTATAATTAACATACTGTGCAATGAACGAACTAAGATGAAAACACACAACCACTTAACCAAGTACAACTATCTAATCGTGCAATACATCAACGTATAAGCGCACTCACGCCCACTCGTACGCCGTACAAAACAAAACTGAAGTACAATTGAAAGCAAAAATTCATCCAAAACCGAAACTGAAATATTTAAAATTGTTCCTAAACAATTCCTGGTCAATAATGAAATACAGAGCATCGTTGCAGTAGTGAACGGATATTATACATTTAAATCGTTTCGGATTGGTCACAGATGTGAAATAACAAATAATAATGCAGACAAACGTATGTCGTATACGTATATTATTTTGACAAATAATGGTTAATATTATATCATCACGAGTGTATATTTAGTCCACAAGTACAACCCTGTGATATTTACACAGCCTACGATGTAAAAAGCTGCGGCGTAGAAAAAAGTGCGGCAAAAACGATTGTAACATAAACCATATATGTATATATAAACTAAATAAAAAATAAATTCAACAAAAACATACCTACAGTTTTCACTTCGTCTACAAAGGATATAATAATTACAATATGAATGGTAGTAATAATAATTAATCGTAAAAGCCAGTGGTGGGGGGAGGGGGCGCTAAGAATCGAGGGCAAGAGCCTTGACGGAGTAAACAATAAAAGGAGTTAAAGTCGTGGGCGGAAAAAATCTAGCGGCCACCGACCGACAAGTCGTCGTCGTCTTTCGTCGGCCGCCGTCGTCATTCAAGGTTGCGGAGTGGATGACGTGCCGGGCGGCGACGTATCGTTCGTCGTACCGTGTTTACCGGTGGCGCCGTTCTTGCACGCCTCGTCGGGCTTACAACAAGACGGCGTCTGCGGTTGAGGCTGCTGTTGCTGCAGTTGTTGCTGTTGCTGCAGTAGTTCCTTTTCCTTCTGCTGTTTGTACTTCCTGTTGAAGAAATACCGGCAGCCGCCGCTTGCGGATTTTACGGGTTTCGGTCTGTCAACAACGGTGGCGGCGGCGGCGGCGGCGACGGTTGGCTGCGTCGGCTGATGATGATTTTGCTGAAGATGATCTCTTTCTTCGGCTATACGAGGCAGCGAYACGTGACCGCCRCCGACGTCCACCGAGAACATTTTGTTTACCTGTGACGATGGCGGTTGTTCGTTTTTAGTGGTCGCCGCCGGGACGACGGTGGCCGTTTCTTCCACGGCGGGCGTCGAAGCCGCCGAGTTGTTTTGCAATATTTTCGTTGTTGCCGTGGTAGTAGTGGTGGTAGTGCAGGTCTTGGACAGCGGCAAGTTGGCGGCCGCGGCGCCGGGTCCGCGCGCACACATTGGGGGCGACTTGGTGGTGACCGTGACGCGGGGCGCGTGGTGCGTGGTCACCTTGAGCGCGGGGTCGCACAGCGGCGAAATGGAATTGGACTTGGTCTCGGCGGTACGCGGGTGCAACCGGTCAGGSGACAGGGCCCGTCGCAACAGTGGCGAGCCCGGTTCCGACGTCTTGCACGGCCGGCCGAACGATGAACCAGCCGTCTTCTTGACGACGACAACAGCGCCGCCTGCACTGCCGGTACTGATGCAACAGCCTGACGGGCCGCCACTTCCACCGACGCAGGCCGTCGAACCACACCCCGAAGGAGTCACACCACCGGATCCCGCTGCCGGGTTGCACGACGTCAGCGACGATGGGCTGTAAGACTGCGTGGTATTGGAGCTGCCGGGCTGGTGGCCGGACGAGAACGTCAGCGGACTGGGCGACCGGGTGGGAGACTGCGGCAGCGGTGATGGTGACGGGGTCCGGGCCAACGGTGACAGCGGTATATGGCCGACGGACTTGCGCCGGTTCGGCGAGTGCAGGTTTTTGGTGACCGAGTGCAGTTTGTGCTTGAGCCCGTGCAGCGTGGATGGCCGCTGGTACGGCGTGGGCGAGTTGGGTGTCACCGTCGGTGACGAGTTGGCCGACGAGCTCGACGAGCTGGTCGAAGACGAGTAGTCCGCGGACGTTGACGTCGCCGCAGCCCCAGCTACCATCGCCGAGTCCTGCGCGACGCCTCCGGCAGTTGGCGATCGGTTTCCTATAATGGTCAGCTGTGAACAAACAATATGGCAGACCGTCAATATCCATTGCAAATAGCAAGTAACAGAAGACATGTGCAAATAAAGACATGTATTTATATAAAAAGTAGTTCATACATCTACAACGCATTGTAATAATGTCGATTTAATTACCTATCGAATTATAAATCATTTTCAATATACTTCAAAGTAAACTTTTTATTGGATTAATTTATCAGTGCACAGTTTAAAGCAAATTTAATATTTATTTTCGATAACATTTTAACTATAAATTATTTTTATTGATTCTATCACATTTTTGAAAATGTCTTGGAAATTTGAGCTCTTTTCCTTGTACAAGCCATTCGCTCATAAAATGATGTTTTGAAATAATTAAATTYAGAAATCTCAGGTATTTACTTAGCTAATTATTTATGTTGTTAACATAATGTTTAAATTATGTTTATATCACATTAACAAAAAAACTGCCATTTTGATTAAAATTATAATAATTACAGTAAACACATTAAAACAAATTGTCTTCAATTTTGAGTAACATCAGAAATATAACTGTGTAAGTTTCTGTTAGGCATATCTAATGATCAAATTTATTAACGTCGCGAATGGTAAAAATATATATTATTGTTTAATCCATTATTAATTAATGAAATCGATTTAATTTGATTTTCAAATGTTCACTATTCTCTCAGCTAGTTACTTACTGTATTTCGGTTAAATTCGATACTAAATATTGTTATTAATGATACCTAGTTAAAACTGATAAACTTTAAAAAAAAAGTCAAAAAATAAAAACATAAAAATTAGAAAGATTGTTTTCGGGCAAACGCGACGATAAAATTATCGTTAAGAATGCAATCGATAGCTTTGCGGTCTGTCATTAAAACACATTCGTATCCACCCATGTATACGTTGACCAATGACGTACCTGTTGATAGTCGGGAGTGCACTTGGTGCTGATTCGCCTAAACAGCGACGACTTTTGTCGGCGCCTGCTCTCGCCGGCCGGTATGTCCTTACGCTGAGACCTCTTGTGCCGGTGTGAGTGGTGCGCGAACCCGAGGCCTCTGTGCCTGGCGTTCGACGCCAACTTGCTCTGGCCAGGTTCTCGACGCCGTCCGCCCGTCTTGATGGTCGTGAACTCTAGCGGCGTGGACCGCAGGGTAGCCTTGTCGCCGCCGGACAACAGCAACTGCAACACTTGTGTGTGGTTCATCCCCTGAACTTGTTCTCCGTTTACGTGCGTAATCAAGTCACCCGGACTCAGGCCCGCCTCGAAAGCCGGACTTCCGGAATCCACCGCCTGTACAAATACACCCGTATAATATTAACACACTGTACTGCAGATAACGTTTTTTTCGCTATCTACCCGTTTATAATAATTATAACGATTCGTCATCAAAATTTATAATATGCTAGTAAAAAGTTAAAATACTACTCATACTCATTCAAAAGATTTATATATTTCTCCCCTCTTAGAACATAGAACATAATATTATTGTGTTTGCTGGTTGCAATGCTAATTTCGGAACTCATTCGACATGCAGGACACAAATACATAGCGAAAATTCTGGATTGAGAATTTACACACACACCATATTATTATTTATACACGCATTTATTAAAAAATTACGAAACAGTTTAACCGTATTAAACTATAAAATGTAATTTTATTGACTATAGCAATCATAAGCACTTGATATCACATGCTACAGGGAAGTAAAATATGACCATAAAATAAACTTCCGACATTCCATTCCAGGTAATAAATTAATTAAGCGTTCATGAATGTTTCATATCATTCTCACACACAATATTAACATTTAATTTATACATTAGGTATATTATATTCAATACTAAAAATGAGAAGTTAAAAATATTTCTGAAAWAAATTYAACAAAACAATGACTATTAATTTAAAACTTTTAAGTGAGTATAATATCATTGTAATACATTAGATTGTCTTTACTTATTACATAATAATTATGTCAAAACCAATATTTATAGTTTTGAACTCAAACTGATCAAATTAGGTAAATATAAAATATAGTACCTATATACACATGTAGCTATGAAGCTAAGGGAGTGTGAATTAATTCCTGATAGGAATTTAAATGAGTAAATTATATTTTTTTTCTAAACAAGTAAGTAAAAGTTTGACATTAACTTAAACACTTATATTATCTTATATAATAAATAATTTTCTACAATTCAAAATGTAAATGATATACRATTGCTTGATAAGGTAAATTGTGAAATAGTAATATGAGCAATCCTTTATATTTGGCTTAACGTGTGATATTTATTTTTAATAGCTTCAAAAATTTTAAACTTTAGTTTATTATGTATTTTAAAATTGTTTTGTTTTATGCAAACAATATTTAATATATTATATTTAAAATTTCCATTTGAAAATTATGTTCATTGTTAAATGTCTATATAATAGATATACAATTCAACATTTACTAACCAATTTGATCATAAATATTGTAGTATTTAATGACGTAAGTATGTATAATCACTTTAAACTCATTGAAAATACACTTGAGAGAAACAATGTTTTCAAGATGTAAAATTCATGTTGAATATTTATGTATAAAAACTGAGATATATTGTAACTTATAAGTGGTTTTTCTTAAATTATATTTAATTGCATACAGCTTATGAGTAGATAACATATTAACATACATAGATAAATGTTTTGTCAAACACATTTACATACCATTACTAAATGGTGCATAGTGTAGAAATCACTATCTCCAAAGTACACACGAATAGTATTAACTGTAAATCCAAAGCCAGAAGGACCTCTGCGCAATATAATTGGTGGCTTCAAGCTGGTAATTAAAGGTACGTCGCGACAGGGCGAGTTCAATGCACTACATGATCCTGGAGACTTCATTTTCAATCCATTGTTACTGGATTCTAAAGCAACAAGTAAATATAAACTAAATTGTTTACCTTACAATAAACACATATCCACTAATCATTATATACAAACCAGGAGGTATCATGAGAGACAAGCCGGTAGCTGAAAAACTCTTAATGACGGATCTTGCACGTTGCCCACTAAGAGTATTGTTTTTATGATTTTTCGACATGCTTGAAGTACTTGGTGAAGGTGGTAAGGTTGGACATAGATTAGCAGTCACAGGTAAACTTAGGAATTCTTCTTTTTTTTCTGATGAAGGATCATCAGACTCATTTTCTGACAAACTTCTTAGTTGCCTAAAAACATAATTTAATGTAATACATTGTTGAAGACATTGCATTATAGTTAAGACTTTTTAAAATCCATCAAGATTTGCATAAAAATTAACTTAATGTTACAAAACCGAAATATTTTACATCATTTATGAATAAAACTGTTAATTAAAATAATCCAATCAAAATTATATACTAATAACAAAATGATAGAATAGTTAAGGGAGAAAAATTARTCACAAAGTAAAATACTTAAAGTAAACTGTTTGTTTTTACTTTAAGAAAGTGAAATTGAATTTAGAACACCATACCTATATCAGAATTTCAAATATTTGTGTAAAAAGCCAACACAAGAAATAATTTATGTTTAACTTTTAATTTAATCAAATACATGTAGGTGAAGTGTTCTAAATTATTAACTTCAATGTATAAAAACTTCATAATAACCAAATAGTGGTAAAATGTTTAATTTTTAATTAATAAARGGTCTGTACTCAGTTTGCTACCAAACAAGTTAGTAAGACAAATGGGGTAGATAGTTCTTAACTTTTTCCAATCAACCAGAATTTTATATCATAAAAACACTATAACTTATACTTATTACATAAATTAAATAAATCTTAATATATTTTGACAAAATGTAGTCATGGAGTATTGCATATTATTTATTTAGTTTATAATAAAATAGAGTTAATATTTATTTATACACTAGTCATTGAAATAATTATCAAAACAAATTATTGAGCAATGGACACTATAAAAGTCTATTGCAGGCGTGCCTAACCTTTTTTAACTTGTGAGCCATATTCAAAATTTATATTTATACTTAAGACAGTATATACTCATATACTTCCTCGGTTTTTTGTTCATTCTAAAAACACAATAAATATAACATTATCAATGTTCACTTATCTAATTGATGACTCTTATCATATACAATAATTCTGAATATTTTTATGCTAATCGCTAGTTAACAATATTTTGTTGTCATTAGAAACGGTAGGTTCATTTTTATATTAAAATTAAAAATTATAAGATATTTTAATTCTTAAGATTTATATTGAAAAAACATTTTTTTAAATTATTATTATTATTTTTATTTAATATACTACCTATAAAAATTTATAATTTTATAAAATTTTCACAGGCTGGATGGAATACTTCTKTGTCCCGTGGATTTGTTCACGCCGGTATGTAGTAATACATAATATTTTTATACCAATTTAAAATATAGCTAATGCATTTTTAATTAAAAAAACTTTTAACGTTTTGGCAAAACTGATAAAACTTCCAAGATCAAACAAATTATTTTTAAACCACATTTTTATTCAAAATCCTAGGTTAGGTCAAATAGTAATAAAATAAGATTTGAATAAGATTATCCTTAATAGCATGCTGTACAGGCATAAATTACTTGTATATAGTTGAGTCAAACACTTACAGTAATATAGACAATAAATCTTATCATATTCCCTTATTTTGTAGCCATCTGTTTAACTACTTTAAATTTATTTAGGTACCTATTTATTTACAATCTATACGCCAGGTAGCAACTACAATGAGGTAAGCAAAACTAAATTAATTAATACAGCAATGTAAACAAAACATTTTTATAAATATAATTAAGAATATAATTAAAATATTAAAATATAAAAGCATTGAATATAGAGTAAAACTGAAAAAAAAGTCAGAAGGTTAATGTTCTGAACATGCGTTGAAGGGGCTGATTATGGCCGTAAAAATTGATAGAAAGTAACAGAAAGCAGATATTCCATCAGGACTGGGAGAGTTTACACTACATAAAGAAGTTCAATCATTAAACATGTYGTCAGGTGAAAAGGGACAGTTAGAGGGAAGGTAAAAAAAAGTCTAAAGCATTTATCTGGTAATGAGGGGACTATTGAAGGAGATTTATAAACAATAGTAAAGTAATCGGAGAAAAATGAAACTAATTTTGATATGTCAGCACAAATAGAACTTAGGTAATCAACTTACTGGAAAGTGCTTTTTGGTGCTAGCAATAYACGTTTTGTAATTTAACTTCGATAAGTATTTGCATTAGGCTATGAGTTCGGAAAAAATATTGTAATCTCTATGTGACAAAGTTTTTTGAAATGAGTGGACTCATTCAGTGTCAAAAATTAAATCTCTAAGAGGTTTAGACAACCAAGAACGAAATTTACTACAGGATGACAGGTGAAGTGGAAGAAATTTATCAATACAAGACAAGAAGGCATTATTGAAAATAACATCAGCGTCATTAACAGAGTATCTTGAGAAAATCTCAACCTAGTTAAAAAAGAAATTGAATTTTAATCAGTCTCATTGAAGTCCTGATAAGAAATGCTATAACTGATTGAATAGGTAGGGAGATACATAAGGGAGAGTGATATTATTTTACTGARAAAGAGGTAACCTGGTTAACAGAAAAGTTCTTGTTATTGGTAAAGACTATGTCTGGCAGACCACCAAGTTTGTTGTAGACGAAATTATGCTGAAATAAGTTAAGAAAGGAGAATGAGTCAGTGAAAGCAATAGTATATGGACAAAGGGCGCCTAACGTATATTATTTTCATAATATTATAAATATGACCATAAACTAAGTAATGCACGACTCTCAAGAGATKTTTTTCAATATTTAATGTTATAAAAAAAGTTTTAAGTTTCAAGTATTATAAGTTATAACCTAACTATATAAAAATGAATAGTTATTATTATTTTATTTTTATCATAATATTATATTAGATAAAAACTCAAGTCATTATTGCCCTATGTTGTAGATACCTCTTTAAACTGTTTGACTACAAAAAAAAAGGTCACTACTAAACTTTATATATGTTTGACAGAAATAACAGATGTAATATATAATATGACTTCTTCTGAATATAAAATAAATAAATATAAAAACAAATAATCAATACATAGAATTTACAAAACAAACTAATTTAACTCAACTAATTATTTAAAGACTGAAAACTAAGACTAAAAAATACAATGAAAAAAAAGTAAGTTTAAACAAATAATGAAAGACAGAATGGAAAAAGCAACAATACACAAAAGTATTTCAATTAAGTATATAAAATAATATGTATAACTGATTAATAAACTTATTTTAAATATTTTATATCTTCTACTAATTCAAAATAACAATTTCTTCAGTTGTTTATTTTTCAATTGAAACTGTACAAAATAATAAAATGTATAAACAACAGTTATATGTAATTTAATATTATGTTACAGATTTCACTGAACAATTATTAAGGAAGATAATATTAAACTCATCCATAATTTAACAATATTCAAATTATTAGTACATTAATGTTTAAAAAAAAATGTACTTAAGAAAATTATTAGAAGATACACAATGAATCAATTATGAAGATAATTTATTATTATTACTACCACAAATATTATTCAACTGAATGTATAAAACATGTTACTAGCAGAGTTGTATTAAACTGAGTTAAAATCTAAACTAAAAATTAAAAACCAAGATGTTTAACCAATAAGTTTACTAAAAAATAAAATATTTAAATTAATTTAATATTAACTTTTTATAGCATAGTTTGTTTAGTCAAATTGTAATTTTCCTTTAAAAAGTTTAAAACAATTTTATTGTAATTTGTTACATTTTGCTAAAAAATGTATTTAGCATTCATTTCACATTTTGCAAATATTAATTTTCTAAATATTAAATGATAAAAGAAAAATAATTACTATTAATACGCATTAAGAAAATCAGTGGATTGAGACTAAATTATTAATACCCTCCCTAAAGAACAAATTTCAAGTATACACTGTGTACAGATTAGATAAACAACTAATAAAGCATTGCTGAAAATTTACACTTAAAAAATAAACTTATTAATGACAAAATATGTATATTATCTAAATTATAAACATGTGATAAAAATTTAAATTATCAATATTTAGAGTACTACATTTTTCAATTAATCCTAGATAACACCTCTTTAAAAATAATGTTCATTACATATTGTATTATTTAATACGCATTCAATGAGTGATTGATTAAACAAATGAAGAAACAATTCTTCAATGTTTTAATCATTACTAAAAGTGAATATATCTGCTGAACAGCAATTTAAAACCATATATAAAATCAGGTACGGATACAAGGGGGGGGGGCTGAAGCTCCCCCCTCCCCTAAGATTAGGACTTCGGTACTTAAGATATTTAAAAAAATAAGAAAGACTTTGTACAAAATCCCGGGACGGGACACGGATACATACACTTTTTTGTTAAGCCCCCCCCCTTTTTTCATTTCTAGATCCGCGCCAGTATAAAATTGTGAAGATATGAATGACAAAAAAAGAGAGAGTACAGAAGTAAAAGGACATATCTTCTATATAGTACAACAATTTAAGTATTTAAGAATTCTCATAACCCAGGACAATGAGTTAAAAGCAGATATATTGAGAAAAATACAAATGGCAAACAAATGGAATGAAACTGGAAAAATCTAGAACTATCTCTAAGAATTTAAAAATTACACATATTATATTGTATATGACATTAATACATATAATTATACTATATGGCTCCGAAACATGGAAAAAGCTGAGAAAGAAGTGAGAATGGAATTTTTTGAAGAAAAGTATAAAGGATATAGCCCACATATTGATCCACAAACCAGTATAGTGTATGGAGAATATGATACTATGAAGAACTTCAAAACATTTTCTAAAACTMATGTAAAAAGAGTGAAATATCATGAAAAGAAGACTAACGTGGACAGGATGATGAAAAAAATGGCAAAAGATAAGATTAAAAATTAGGAATCCTATACTATAGSGAAAAGACTGCTAAGTAGGTCTTTCCTAATATAGGAAGACTATATATAGAGAAATATGAAAGAAGTAGACCCAAAAGACAACTGCATCAAGGAGAATTTGCTTTACTAGATGGTCTTAAAGGCAGGACAACTAAAATATATCAAATCTGGACAAAATAATGCGCAGACTATACTTTGAATAACTTTTAAAAAATAGTGCACTACTCCCAATTATAAACTTCATAAATATAATTGTTATATTTTATGAGTTAAATGTCTCTACAAAATTATTTTGTACATATRTATTCAAAATGTAGAACTTAGTAATGTCACTTAAGATAAAATTATGGCTCTAAAGAAGTATTTGTTCAATACTTTTATAAATTAAAAATTTTGAATGATTAAATATATATTAAATGATATGTAAATTCTGCATGTTTTTTTTATTCAACAGTTATATAAAATATAAGATTGTGATAAAGAATGCTTTGGTTGTATTCAAGCATACATTTCAAAAAAATACTATCCAACATTTAAAAATATTTAATGAAATATAAACATTAAAATCTTTTACTTTATATTAGATTTAGTACTGATTAAAATTGTTAATTCTATGTATTTTAAAATGTACATAAATAGTATCTGTTCTAATTTAAAGATCAATATAATAATAGTTATTATACTCTTAATATGATCACAATTATTTTGATACATAAGGCAAATAGATTAAGGGACATATACAATTTAAATATGTATTATGACATATGATCATACTTTTGACAAATCATAATTGCAACAGTAAACAAATTATTTTATACATACATTTTTTTTCACAGCAGATTGTTGAGGTAGTTTATGCTTTCATGGAATAATTAAAATTTTTAAAAAGTATCAATCTTTGAAATAAATTATGTTGTAGGAACAATTGAAGTAAGAATAATAATTTACTTAAAACAGCACTCTAAATTCTTTTCTTTTTTTTGCTTCTAAATAATCTCAGCATATCATTTGAAAAATCAAATTTGAAAATGTTCACAAATTATTCGATACATTATTAGGTTAGAAAAACATGAAAAATTACAATGTGACAATCATCAAAACTTGACAAAAATGAAAAGTACAAACTGGACATTTGAAAAAAAACTGAATTACATTCACATTAACCTAGAAAAAAGATAGAAAGCAAATTCTGTTATTTAATTTAAATTTCAAAATAATACTGCCCAATCCTCGAGATTATAAGTGACATTTACTGATAGAGCAACAAATTAATAATAAACCACAAATCAATGTTTTTTTTATTAATCATATCATAAGTTAATTTATTAATTATTTAGATACTATTATATATTGTGATGTATTTAACATATTTTCGCCTAGAGTGAATAACACTCATTTTATACATATTATGTAATATACTACTTTCCTAGTTCAAATCACTATTTTTAAGCAAAAAATTAAAATATATAATACTAAATTATATATTGGCATGCATTTAAAAWTTTTTCGCCTTAAGCAAATAACACTCGTTTTATACATACTATGTAATGCACTACTTTACTAGTTCAAATTACTATTTTAAGCAAAAAAATAATATATATAATACTCAATTATATAATAGCATGCATTTAAAATGTATTCCCCTTGAGCAAATAACACTCATTTTATATATACTACGTAATATACTACTCTCCCAATTCAAATCAACTTTTTTTAAGCAAAAAAAAAAATAAAATAAGAAAAAATATTTTCTATATTTCATTATTCAATACAAGAGTATGAAAATAACATTAAAGGCTTACGGAGAACGATCATCTTCAATTGAAATTGAGAATTTCGGTATACTTTCTTTACTATATAAGCGCCTCCTACGACTGATTTGAGTATTTGATTCATTGTCTTCATTTTGTGACTTCTCAAYAGTTATTTTTTTGGCTACAGGTGATTTTAAACTTTCATCAACCGTTTCTCCTTCTGACGCTGATGTGTCAAACATTCCTAAAATAAAAAAACCTCAATTAAAATCAAATAATACAATAATACACTTAATCAATACATGTACAAACAAATAACAAAAAACCAAAATATGATTTCTTACCACTATTGATAGATAAAGAATCTTCTTTATAGTTCACTGAAGGAGATAACGATGGATATTCATTGCTCATTGACAATTTACTTGCTACTTTTTTGAATTGAGGCGAACAAGATGAAAATGTACCCAAAATCAACGAGTCATCATCTGTATCCTCATCAATTTCATGACTATAACGATCACTTCTGGCTGAAATAATTACAATTTATTATTATTTTAAAATTAGTAAAATATTTTACATTATAATTATTACAATCAAAATAACTAGTATCTTCTTCATCGCCTAATTGTGGCATAAATTCAGCTTTTTGTCTCAATAATGAGTTCCAATCAACTCCATAGAAATAAGGATGATCTTTGACTTCATGAGATCCACCAGTGCCTAATCGATCTCTTGGATTTTGTTGCAATAATGATGATATTATATTTTTGGCCTCAGGCTGGATTGGCCATTCATTTTCATCGGGCCATTCAATATCGTCTATAAAAATTAAAAATATAAATTTTAATCAAGAAATTCAATTAGTTCTACAACATCAATTAATTCATACCATTTACTGTATGAGCAAAAAGTTCTTCCGGTGTTTCACCAAAAAATGGTACACACCCTACCAAAAATTCATACAATATTATTCCCATAGACCACCAATCTACTGGTTTTCCATAACCTTGTCTAAAAATAAATATTATTTTTGTAAACTTCAATATAAATTTTTAAATAATAATGATTGCATATATTAATATGGATACTTATAGTATGCTAATCACTGTTTTATTTACATACACCTATATACATACCTTAGGATTACTTCTGGAGCTATATATTCAGGAGTACCAAAAACTTGTTTGTCAGAAAACTGTCGTGTATCTCTGTCCACGTGAACTTCATATAAATTAGTTGCCACTATAACAGCAATAAAAATATTAAATTTATAATGATTAATTGAAATAATTATTATTGTATAAGTTTAGTAATAAGTTTCTTACATGACATTAAACCCATTTTACTTAATCCAAAATCAGTCAGTTTTATATGGCCTAATGCAGTAATCAGAAGACTGAAAATATAACACAATAATAAATTCAAATTCAAATATTTATAAAAGAATTTATTATATACTTGTCAGGTTTTAAGTCACGATGCACAATACCATAATTGTGAAGGTATTCAACGGCAAGTACAGTTTCAGCAAAATAAAATTTTGCCATATCAGGAGGTAAAGGGCCAATATTTTTCAAAAGAGATGCGCAATCACCTCCTTCGACATACTCCATAACAAGACAAAGATGTTTCTAAATACACAATAAAACAATAAACATTTTGAATATAGTTCATGTTTTAATTTATTAAAATTTACCCTTGTTTCAAAACTGCAATACATAGTGACCACAAATGGATTGTCAGTAAAACTCATGATATCCCGTTCAGCAAATACTTGTTCAATTTGATTACGCAACATTAAATTATTTTTGATAATTTTCTTCATTGCAAATCTTTGACGTGTTTGTTTATGTCTTACAAGATATACAGCGCCATACGCGCCRTTAGAGATCAATTTAATTACGTCAAAATCGACTTCTGATGGTGGCTAAAAATTAAACAATAAATGGTAAAAAATAAAAAATAAATAAAAATAGATAATTAAGTTACTTACAGAAGAAAATGTATCTTTTTTGGTACTTTGTTGTTGAGTCTTTTTCATTAAAGACGAAGAATATTCATCTAACTTGTGAAAGTTTACATCAATATCTGAAAAATATATAGAAATACTTTTAATAAGTTTTAAGAAATACATCATCCAAAATTTTAAAAATTAAATATACACATACCATCAACTGAGTTACGATTTAATCCTAATTTTCCTATTATATATTGTGGTATTTCATCCTTAATACCTTGACAGATTTTAGCTTGACCTTCAGCTTGTTCTAACAGATGATAAAATTCTTCAGGATCGAATTCTAAGCATTCGAGCAACCTAGCTGGTCTAGATATTATTAATAACAATTTTTTCATTGTTCCTGTCAGTAGTGCAGCGGCTTCTTCCGACTTTTCTCTTGCCTGTAATAATAACAAATAATTTTATTTAATGATAAATATTTTTTTACACAACATACCTCAGCCAACAATAATTCCAAGTTTTCAGACATTTCATAAAAATAACCTCGTGTAATTAATTTTTCTTCAGATTTTTTTAAGCAATCTCTAGCTATCTCCAATACTTGATGGTTAACAAATCTAACAATAGGTACAGCATCTGGTGATATTTCTATGTGTTCTAAATTAAGTTTTTCATATTCATTTATAAACATGCTTAAACGTTCTTCCATCTGATGAGTAGCCTAAATTAACACATAATTATATGTAATAACTATAACACATTAAAGTTAAATATTTAAGCACCAAGATTAAACTTTACCTTGGGAAACCTATCTTTATAAAGCACATTCATCATTACAATATCATTATCAACAACAGGTGATCTGCTTGGACTGCTGCAACAAAGCCAAATGTTAAAAAAAAAGATTATACTCATATAAATTTAATAGAGCGATTATTAACCTTAAACTTCTTGAACGTGGTCGATTGAAACGGGGCTTACGGTAGATAATGTTATCTTCTTCAGCACTATGAGTACTATCATTGGATGAAAAATGTTTGGAAAACATATGTAATTCATCAGAAGTAGGCATATTTGGAAGCTGATGTAAACGCTCTTGACTGGAACACTGWGACTAGAAATTGATATTATGGTTTTTAAAAATTATTTAGCAAATACAAAACATATGACTGACAGCACTTACTGAAACATTTGAACTTCCAGAAGTGGTTCCATAACCTGAAGATGGCAATGAAGCAACTGACCACCTTCTTCCATCACGACAATCTGTAGTGAGTAAATTATATGGCCTAGAAAGATATAAATACATCAAAATATTAAAACATATTATTAATCTCAAACATACACTACAAAAACAAAATTATCATGTTAAAAATAGAAAATCTCAAACAATCATAAAGATTATTCTTAATACACCAATAATTACCTTTTTATTGAAACAAATGGAAAATGAGGATGTGAGTGAACAACTTTAGGACTTTCTAATGGACTACCTGAATTTAAAATAAATAAAAAATCAATGAGTTAAATAACAAACATTATATAAAATAATGTTATCCATAAACAATTTACTTGACATTGGAGAATGACATCTCGGTAATGTAGGTGATGTATTTGATATAAAGCTTTTTCTATGACTAGCTTTGTTAGAACGTCTTCCAGACCCGGCAACATGTAATTCTCTCTACAATGAAATAAATTAAATCATATTAAATTTCAAATTAAATAAAATTATACTATTTTATATTCACACACCAAACTATTCGATAAGGAAGGTGCTGACTGACCCAATGTACTGTTGCGCATCAAAACTAAATTTGATAATTCTGTAAATATAAAATATAAATCTATACTCATTGTATACAATAAAATGTACCAATATTACTTATGATACAATTATTCAACAGTATTATAAAACAGTACTATAGCTCAGCCTATAAATGTTAGTTATAACAATATTATACCAATTAATAGTACTATAGGGGTATAGAATATTTAAGTAAATTATTGATAGTTAAGTTAACTGCATTTTAATATTTTAATCAATTTAAGTATAGCAATAATGTTAATCTGAGTTTTTTTACACCATTAATGTTTGTGGTTTGTATTAAAATAATCAAATACGATGTTAAAATTACTCAATAAATGGTATTGATGACATTTGACATTTACACTTGGTGACTGCTGATATAATATAATATAATATGGATTTTTATTAAAAAGATTTGATAAAGTATTAATAACTATACTGTTTAAAAAAACAAAATAAGATAATAATTTATGGTAAGTTATTATTAGCACAATTATAAGTGATTATTTTGAAGTACAAGCTCAAACTATCTCCATATAACTATAAATACAATAGTTTTAAACCTAATTCTATCTTTATCTAAACAAATACATTTTTAAATATCAGCATACTTGTGTCTTTTTAGAAATAGCACATCCAATACATATTCATATTATATTTATATGATTGTAATATTAGTCTAGTCAAATATATATTTAGTAATTAATAAAATTACTTTATTAACTTTATTAATTAAATTGTTATAAAAATATAATTAGTAATTCCAACTAACAAAATAATAAATTTAAAAAAGTTAATATAATATTATAAAATATTAAAAAGGCCATATATTTGTCATTTAAAATTGTAATATAAAAATATATAATATTGCTTTAGCCTCAGTACAATATTCATAGTAGTCAGAAAAACCTACAAATGGTTATAATTTTTATAATTAAATTTTAGTTATAATATCTACATAATAATGATTTAAAATCAAATATTTAACTATTAATTATAAATCAAAGGACACATTTTAATAGTCATAACRATTCAAAATATACATTAAACACATAGGTATAACTAAATTTACATTATCATAAACTTAACATGATTTTAAAGTGAAATTGCACATTTTAAAAATGCATATAATTATCAAAATTAATGAAATTTAACCAAAACATTAGGAAAATCTAACCAATGATYAGTTGTTAGAAGTGTGCCATTATAACATTTCTGGCTTTGAATGTATATAGGATTGATAAATCATACCCAACTATGAGGAAAAAATGCCTAATTTTTATACTTGAGCAAAATTAATTTTAAAACAAATATACCTTAAATTAATAAAATAAAGACATACAAAATTACTAAATTTATTTGATAACCTAACGGTGATAATACTATCTAGGTAATTTATACTTCTAAAATATTTATCATAATTCCAGAGATCTCTTATTCATTTGTTTGAAACAAACAATTATTTATAGTAAAATAGTTAGGTAGATAATTTAAGGTGAAGTGTTATTTCCAATTAAGAACATTCATAAATTCTTAGTGAAAACCATTTTGCMATTTAGATTACAATCAAAGTTGAAAAATCAAATTTATACTACAAACAGAAGACAATTTTTCTGAGCCATAACATTTTTATTGTTTTAATATTATTTAAGTAAAAAGTTATTTAACTTAAAAAGCATTAAGACAATGAATTTTCAAACAATAATAATGTATTTTGTATTAAGAATATAAAAAATTWAAATTCTGCAACAGTAAATAGTGTGGTCCTTATTGTATATGAATTTGGTTATTAACTACAACAGTAACTTAAATAGTTTTTTAAGTATGAAACCTTTTTACAATAAAATCTTATTATGCAATATGCTATTTGAAACAACCATAATTGGTATTGCCATGAGAACACTATTAAAATAGCTTTTTAATAGTAAATATTGCAATATAAAATTTTAAAATTTGAATTCTTCTTAACATAATGTTATTAACACATTCAACTATATTTTACAACATATTTCCCTATAAAAAGCACTTGTGTGGCAATGCTCTAAATAGTTTGTATTTGCTAAAATAACATTATTTAATATTGTGTATAATAWAAAATACAGAGAATTGTGAATAAAGCAAGTTTCACTTAATTAAATGTGTATCAATGGGATCTCGTGCAGCAAGACAATAAATGTTAATATCGAACTAGCCACAACACAAGTATAATAAGGAAAATAATGTTATGCAGTTTTTTTTTATACTAAATACTAATGAAGTAATSTGTATGGGAAAAAATATAAATAAACCAATAACTTATCAAAAATAATAGAATTCAGAAATCAACAATTATAAATAATGAGTGTAAATCACTATTTAAGTTAAACTAATTAAAATGAGATATTTTAGTATTTTAAATTTAAAAATATGACGAGAAAGTACTACAATGGATATTAAAAAGCATAAAATTGAATGAAATAAACTAATAAACACAATTATGTTTGATGGTGGTATTTCCCAGAAATATTTTCAATTGAATATCTTCCATCAAGCTGATGTAAGGTTTTTGTTTACTAAATTATGTGTAAAACAAACAARTACTATACAAGTATAGTTAGTATGAAAAAAGTAATAATTATGATTTACTAAATACTTAATATGCCGAATGCCTTGTAAAATATATCTAATACTCGACGAACAATTTAGTTAATAATAAATAATTATTAATAAGTCATTATTATATTAAAAATGCTCAACCTAAAAAATTAAGTGTTATATGTATTACTATACATAACTCACCAGTTTTATTGTTTAAGTGAGTATTTTGTTCACAAACAAATAAAGAAGAATTAACATAACACATATTGAACAGAAAAGTAATGTTAATAGCTTCAACTATAAATTATTAATGAAACCTACAACTTGTAACTCTGAAGACTAGTGTTTAAATAAATTACATTAGTTACAGAAAATCACGAACCTTGTACTAAAAAGTAGATAAAATAAAATAGTAATGAGCGTGTTCTTAAGTGTTTGACCAAATTAGTCACATGATACATTTAAGAGGACAAGATTATAATAGTTATATACATATTTATATGAAAAAATATAGTAGATAATTTAATTGGCACGTGCTTCAGATAACTCGAAAAATAAAAGAAATTATAAAATAAAAACTAGACAATGTATATTATGTATTAAGTATGAAAATATTTCATACTTAATAACTGATAAAGTATATACATTTTTAAAATGTACATTTTGCCAAAATGTTATTTAGAAATTGCCAACACTATTTAATATCATGAATACAATACATAACAATTATTTATTTTTATCATAGTAGGTACTTAAATTGATAAATGTAATATCATGTATTTAAAACATGTAACTTGTAGTTCTAAAATAAATAGAACCAATAGGTAATAATTATTACTGTCATATAATGCATTGAAACATTAAAATTTAGATAACCTACAAAATTATAAACTTATAAAACTACTGGCAGTTAATATAAGACAATATAGTAACAGAACAAAAAATAAAAGAAGATTTGAATTACACAATGCAACAAAATAAAACAATACAGAGAATATATTATAAAATTAATAACTAGTATACATATACATAATATTCTGATTTAGTATTAATTTGTTTCATTCTAGTGTTTAATATTTTTTATCAAATCAACAATGGCAAAAAAAAAACTAACAGAAGAAAATTCTTAACAGACACAATGAGTGTAATAAATATATATACATTATAAACTAATATACCTAAAATCCATATTTAATTTAAATAAAAAACCAATAACTTAGTTAATATCTCCTAACTGTATTAATTGATAATACTTAACATAATTTATGGTCTACTCTATTATTTAATAACTCATAACTTAATTTATTCAATGTATATATTCAAAACAATATCATATAATTTATATAGTATCTATGATATTTATATTACAGATATTTGAAAGATGAAAGACAAATTGCAATAGCTAAAATCTAATAAGAATGAATGCCAACAGTGACATATGACCTCAAATTTGCTGAATATTAGTATTAAATCTGCCAAAATCCCAAGAAAATAAACCATGTGCCAATATTTTATGAATGTCATTGATTTTTGTTTCATTTTACTTGGCATTAATGTATATTTATAATTTATAAATATCAAAACACATAGAGAACTATATAAACGTTTATATTAATGCTGGGTTAATTTTTAGAAATTCTGAACAAATTATAAAATAAGATACTAATAGCAATATTAATTTTATAACTAGGTATTACAAATTTAGAAGTAAAATTAGTAATTTATATAAAACTAATTTAAAACTAAAAAAATATAATATACATATAGGATATAGGTTAATACAATGTATCTTAGCTTAAATCATAACCAAATTTTCTAAAAACCAGCCTTATGAAACTTTATTAATAGAACAGTATAGTACCTGCTTACGGTTTTATTAATTGTAATAAAAAAAAAGGCTTTTAAAATTATTGCTTGTAACTAACATTAAGACAAATAAGAATAAATTGCAGATACAACAGTTATCATATTATCTATCATAGAAAAAATGTAAATATGATACTATGATACTTTAAACGATCAAACAATATATTATAGTATTTTTAATTTTATATACTACACACATAATAAAGGGTAAATACATATA